CAGTATACATGAATACACCATAACTAAAGTCTACCACTAAAATATGGACTGACATAATTCTTGTACTTAAATTTTTATGAGATATTTTAGGAGACGATTTTCTTAAACTGCAAAACCGTAAGCAAAAGAAAATAATAGATATATATGGATTGTGTAATTATGAGTAGTGCTATAAGGTTAAGAGTTTCAAACCATAAAAATGGTAAATTCTATAAAAAGCAAACCAATACACCAATAAAATAAAGTATTTTCCGCGAGTGTATAATTTATGAATGAGCCAATCAGATATAAGATAACGAGTCATGGATTTCAGCGCGAAATTCATCCATACATTTAGCTAAGTAGCGTTTTGGCATTATAGTTGATGTTAGTTCATGATGAAAACCCCAAATCTAGTTCCTAACCCTAAAAATTAACGGTAAATCATAATTCTAATTTCTCACATTGGTTTATAACCCTCATTGAGTCCTAATTATCAAGCGGACGTTTTCAAGGTCACTTTAGCATCACTCAAAGGTCATCCATAAATTATAGTTTCACCTTATTTTCTATCAAATTCAACAATAACCATAGTTTGTTGTAGAATATATAAACAACAATTTGTAATTCCGTATAGAGTAGAAACAATTAAAAGTTTCATATAATTTAAGAATGAAAATTAATAAAAATCAAAACTATAAAAGTTTAATTGAATTAAGTGTTTGTAATAATGAAAATTAATCAAATGGAAAGTAATTTTCTCTAATAATCAATACCATTATCAAAATCTATACATTAGTAACAATAAAATAATAACAATAACAGATCCAAATATAATTTTATTTGCCTGTTTACAAATTGAAAATGATTTTCACTTAAACACCTTATTTCTATTACACTTAAAAACTATAAATGCCCAGGTACGGCCGAGGGTTGGGAGAGTTAGCTCTCCCTCTCGAAATGCTCTCACATGGCCACGCGTATACAGCCACTACCACAAAAGTCCTAATCATTGACTTCTCGCAGAGAGGGTGTTGTTTACAAAACTGAGAGGACGAAAAGCGAATGTCTGGAGCTTTACCCGGATGGTGGATATGGAGGACCCATCTAAGGGAGTTGGAAAACCCTGATTCCAAACCAGTGGTGCACATGAGCTCCAGGATACTGAGGGAACAATAGGAGTGTGAACCAATTATTGGTCACCGGTTACCATGGGACTGCATCTTTTGATGTTGCTCCACTGCCTTGTAGATCAGACCCTAAGGTCGAAGGCTCCAGGCGTGACCCCTAAGAAAATCACCTGCTTCGATCTGGGCACCCGGTAGTAGCATAGCCCACACACAAATCAAGTGGCTTGTGTGACGCATCCAGTGCCCCTTTGTACCAATATTTATGTGTTCAAATAAATACATAAATTATATTAGATTAACTTTTAATTAAGGTGTACTTCAGTAAAGTTATTTTATCGTCATTCAGTTCCATTTGATTTTTTAAAATGACTTTGTAATGTGCTAATTTTTCTCGTCAATGGATAACCTTTGTCTCTCTTATAGTAAATTCAGAATAAAACAACTCATCTTTTTTTATTTAATATACATGCTGATATTTTCAACTTCAATTGTGTACATTATTCTCTGTTTATGTTTCTCGTGTTGTATAATTAATAATCATACTAAATTTGAAAAAAATGTGCACACTGAGGGTTATACATATGATAAAGTGCACAATTATAATAACGAAATAAAAGAGATCAGTTGGTTGAGTGATGTCAGATTTTTACTGTTCAGTTCTGGTGGCCTGCTTGAGTATCTGGACTACCTGTTCCTACCATCTAGATGTTTCAACAAGTTGTCCTTTTTATTTTAACACAATATCATGTCTATTGATTGCATAACCTACTCAGGTGTGTATATGAAAAGTTTACGTTTTATCGCTTCACAAGGTACAAAAAAGTATAATCATAAACATCGTGGTGGCTGACAACACGCCTTGAAGAGAATGAACATTAATCAGATGTCGATTTCTGAACTGCTAAATTCTAATTGTCGATCACTGATTGAAAAGGTGGACTATCTTCAACTCCTACCAAGTCAAAACATGCATCATAATTGAGGCACAATCATAATTCAAGAATACTGGTTAGGTGATTTACAAGACGATTGCTTAATATCACTGAGAGATTTAAATATCTATCGTCAAGATCGACCAAGCAATAAGAAAAGGTGTTACGGCGGTGTAGCTATGTTTGCAAACGTGAACTGATGTCGATCTACTTTTGCATGTTTTAAGTTTCCAAACGACTTTATCGACTGTCTAACTTTAAGATGTCGTACAAAACACTTGAATAAATACAACTGTGTTTGTTACTAACACCTACATGACTTCAGACTGCACATCATCTACACTATCAGTTTTCGCTTATGAATTCACTGAATTTGTTGTTACTGCTTTCATGGTTTACTTTCAATTGTAGTTGGTGATTTTAATTCATGTGGCTGTAGCTTCCCTTCATCACTTGGCCACCAGATTTGCTTACTTGTTTGGATGCCTATTTAAACTCAGTTTTCGTTAATGATGTGGGTACATATGTGACTCATAAACGTGTTCCACTGTTTAGTTCTGATCATTGTATAATTCGTGTCCTACCTAAAGTATATATCATACTTGGAAAGAGTACACTCTTACATCAGACAAAGAAATTATCCAACATCTGGAAAACATGTTTCGTACGACTAACGGGGTTATTTACGGATTGCTCACTGGGAAACACCGTTGATATTATCATTTGTTATCATAAATTCTGTTTTGATATTTATTTTCTCCCTGAAACCATTTTTATAAGTTTTGGTCAACTTACATCTCCACAAATAAAACGATTTCGGAGGGTGAAAGAAAGAATGTACAAGGAGAAAAACTTCATTGAAGCTCGAAATTTAAATGTTCTAATAAACTTAGATATTAGACGTCTGGACTCAACGTTTACTCAGAAACACATATCCTGTATAAGCTCTCCAAATATGTGAAAACTATTTAAAGAACTTAAAGGTGAGAAGTAAATTAGAAGTGATAACCAGCTGGACGTTTGTCTTTTGTACGTCAGTCACCTGATGTCATGCTCCCTATATCCACAGGTTTGAAGAATAGTTGTGTTCCTAGTTTCACTAGAACTGATGTTCGAAAATGTCTCCAGTCGCTTAACCCGTCCCAATTTCTTGGATTTGATGAAATCCAAAACCTTTTTAAAAAGTGTGCTAACATTCTGTTTTATCCATTCACAAGCATCTTTAACAGATCCTTCTCAAGTAACCTCGTACTGAAAATGTGGAGAAAGATAAATGTAATCCTAATACTTAGGAAAGTATCTGGCGTTAAGAATGTTCAATTTAGACCCATAGTACTAACTTCAACTTCTCTCAAAACAATACAAAAATTACTGATACTTCCATTTCAACTTGCACTAAACGAGCATATTGATCCGTGTCAGTTTGCTTACAAATGCAAAAGAAGCACCTTAGATGCTGTTGCTGTTCTGCATAATAATATAGTGTTCAGCTGGAAAAAGGGTTAAAAGTATGTTTGATGCACTTTCCGGGATTATACTTCTCCCTTTGACTCTATTCCAGGATAACTACTTAACACGTTAATCAGCGTCAACACTAACAGGTGAGTAACCAATTGGATATTTTCATACCTCTCTGGAAGAGAATAGAACTTTATTTGGAAGAGAGTGTTCAATGAAGGTGCGCCACAAGGAGCTGTCCTTTCCATCCTCTTCGTTTTTTTCCTTTTTTCTACATGATCTTCCGTCTACCACGGAAAACACTTTTGTTAAATATGTGGACGATCTCATTGTATGTATGCCGATTTCTCCCTCTTTGTATCTCCCTGAAATGAAAGAGTTCTTGTCTCGTATTGAATGGTGGTCTGTTGTTCATGGTCCCACACTTAACCCGTCTAAATGTCAACCTGTTAACTTTAGCCTGAGACATGAACAGCACCTAAACACCTTGTTGGAATCCAATAGATTTCGTACCGCTGGAGATTCCTTGATAAACACAGTGTCAAAGTCGTTTATCTTAGTGAAAGGTTTTCCTCTGATCGCTCTTGGTCTTCTCATATTTTATTGTTATCGAAGGAATTTCTTCGTCTCACTTACTATATGAAGAGGATGCATTCTTTTGGGATTACTCGTCATTTACTCTTAAAATTTGTCGGTTCATGCATATTACCTATTATTCTTTACTGTTCACCATTATTCTTTCCAGCGCTTTTGAGAAAAGACTGCTGTATTGCTAAGAGTGTTAAAGGCAGCTAGCATGGCGTTTGGTGAATATTTTAGGGTCATTATTATTAGGATTGTAGATAGACAACTAAAGTCTTATAAATTCCTGAAAGGTGTTATCTTATCAGATACTAACCATCCACTTCATTCATACCTTTCTCCTTATATATCTTCTGATCGAACGATACTTCAATACATTAGAATCCATGCACGTAAGCAAAAGTGTAAAAGCTCTACAATACCTCATCTAGCAAATATACTATGTGACGAACAGGTTGTTAGAGCTGATCTAGTCAATAACTTATATTCCTAAAAATGTTTCTTACTAAAAATGTTTTACAAATTCAAATTTCCAGTAAAAAAAAATCATTTAGCTCCAGTTGGTTAATCTACTTAACTTATGCACATATGTATGCAATTATCAGTTTCTTTCACTTCTATTTTTTGTCAAAGAAACTTGTTGAAATACCTTGTGTTGAGAATTCCATATTGTACCAAAAACATAACATTGAATAAATCCATTAATAATAATATCAGTTTAATATTTCAACTAGAATGTAACTGAGAGAGAGAGTTATCCGGTTAATAAGAACCGATTAGAATCACAACATGGCAATAGTAATCAAGATTTATGTAGTAATCATTTTGCTTTTAATCAAATTCTAATTCGTATACATGTTTCTGTTCAAATCCACAAGTCCATTTATTTTGTTTCTTCATTTTCTATCATTTAATTTAGATGGTAATGCAGAGAAAGCTGGTCTCAAAGCTGGAGATCAAATTATTGAAGTGAGCAATTTCACATGTTAAATGTTAATTCACCCAGAAATTCTTCTAGAATATACTTGTTGGTTTTTGAATTCATCAAAATATTTAATTTTAGTTAATAAGTTATCCATGTGTTATTGGTGTTTAAGAAACTTTATACAGTCAGATCCCTTTAGGAATTTGATCAATACCGGAATCACAGTTTCAGCAGAAAAACTTGAACTCTGTATACCACGTGGATCCTACTCCACTGCTAATAACCCTATTTCATATTTTAGATATCAAATCACTAACAATAGTAATAATTAAAATGTCAGTCTCTATTATATACTATATAACGTTACTTTAGGACAGACTAAGGAATGATAAATAGGAAACCGGAATTAATTGGAACCAAAAAAATATTTACACTGGCTGCGTGATAACTACTTCAAATTTAAAAGAATTCAGATAATTTCTCAGGATAGAAAGCGTATGATGAATCTGAAAGCATTTTTAAGATAGATGAAATCACTTAAGCACAGAATAAAACGGTAGTAGTAATAATTTTATAGTCTTACATTACGGACTTACCTATGTTAAATAACCATATGTGTACTGTTGAAAAATACACTACTATCACACAATGGGTATCTATTATTTCTTGATTTTCTGTGACTGCCTAACTAGGAGAAGTCCGTGATGTAAAACAACGAAATCCAACAACCTCCACAACCCCATTTATTAGAAAAACAATAATATTAGTCATAGTAATAGCTGAAAATAGTAGTAATAATAACAGTAATTAAAAGGGAGGTAATCAAAATTTGTAATTTACCTTCCTTGTTAATCATATTCATCAGTCCTGAATAGATATATAATTTCTTCAAAAGTCAGAAATATTACTCACCACTCTATTCAGAGACTATTCTAGTATATCATGAAAACCGATTACTACAGTATAAGATTAGGAAATGTAAACTTGTCACAGTACATTTCTAACAAAGAAATCGATTAAAATCCGAGTAGGCCTTCTGTAAAGATTACTTAAAAGTAGATTATTCTATAAATAATAAGGCTTGCATCAAAACACTAATATATTTATCTGAAGTAAAATATACACAGTTTATGATTGAGATCATGAACCGATTGATGTTAGGCCACCATTGAAAACCTGGAAGCACTGGACGGCCGTTTTGTCCTATTTTAGGACCCTCAGCAGTGCGCATCCACGATCCCGCTCGCGAGATTCGAACCCAGGGCCTTCAGTCTCGCATGCGACCACTTAACCTACTGGATCACTGAGCCGGCATGCATTGGTGTTAATGTCTAATATCAACCAATCCACGAAGTTTAACTATATTCTGATTTGTGAGAAGAAGCATAGTTCATTCACTTTACAAGCCAGAAACTATTTATTAACAATCACTGATCATTTTAATCTTGAATATCAAAAGAAAAGTAATGAAAATCCTTATAATTATTGAAGAATCCTGAGACATTGTTATGTAGGGATTTTTCATTATGTTTTTTATGAATCCTTTTTAAATCTATAAGTGGATACATACAACTACTGAATGCTAAAACTTATGTTTACGTGAAAACACACAAATGATTGTCAGGTGTTTTTTTAATTACCTTACATTTTATCTTGGTTACATGATCACAATAAAGTCTACTGATTGTTAAATATAACTTCACTCTTTCTGTTCACTAAATATATGTAACAGCTGATGTTTCATCGTATCGAGTGTTTTTGTTGTTGTCAAAGGGAAACAGTAAGCATGGTGTATATGCATGTTTTTTGTAGTCTTATTAATAAGAGAAAATACCCAATCAATTAAGAATATAAAAGGCAATAGATTTTAATGGAGTTTTATCCTCTCAACTGAATGGTTTAGTTGTGGAGCTTTCATCGTTCTTCTGAACAACATTATCAGCACAAACTCCACCATTTTAAAGCGATAGATATTTATCTGCATACGTAAAACATTTTTCTCAGAAACTAATTTTACAATTAATGTTTCAATCAATCCCAAATATTATAAACAATCATTGTTTGAAAAGGTTAAAAAAATGTTTGAATAAACTTCATAGGAATAATCGTAACCGTAGAATGTGTATAAATACAACTATGCTACAATAAACGATTTTGTGATTTCTTTTAATTTAACTGATTTTATAGTTGTATAACATGAAATCAGTAAAATGTATCCAATTTATAACAAACTTAATTTCATTGATTGATCATTAACACAGAGACAAACAGTATGATTCTGTAAATATGATTATTATTAAGTAATATAATAAGAAACGTTTGAAACTAAGCAACATGATAATAATCGTTCTAGTACTGTTAAATGGAATAGAATAAGATCAAAACTTGAACTCAGATAAAATATACTTTATAACTTAATAGTTCATTCTGTGAGACTATAAATTATGTATGAATCACTCAGAGCTAAGACTGGGAGTCTTGAATTTTGGTGCGAAATTAATTCACCTCTATGACTAAAGAACATTTTCGCATTATAGTCGATGTCAGTTCATGATTAAAACCCTAATTCTAATACTTAATCCTAACTTCTAACTTTAGCTACCAGTCCTAATTCTTCATGCCAATTTATAGCCCTATTTTGACTCTAGTAAGTAATTGGAGTTTCTCAACTTTACTATCATTTAAAGGTCGTCCATAAATTATAGTCTCCCCATTCACTCTTTCATTTTAAGTAAGATATGGTATAAATTCATGGTATCACACTATGCAGGTAACTATTGTATAACAAATGAATACTGAAAATTCTAGAATTACATCTTAAATGTTTGCTACTCTATTTCAGATTGCCAATTAGATTATTCTATAAGGCGTGAATAATTCTATGATAAACATCACTGTAAAAATAATATAATGACCTTATTTTTTCATATCAATTAACGTTTGATAATATCATTGCTTATGATTATTGAGGTGCGCAGATCTTTAATGAATGAAAATAGATGAAAGAAAAAATTGCAAACTTTTTTCCTTAAAATGTATTTAACAAACTAAGATTACTTATTAATTGTAATGAATATAATGATAAAAAGCGTCGAGTCACCTAGACTGGTGGCCACATTGTAAAGCTGGGTGACAGGGGATTGAGTCCCCCAGGGAGCACCAGTCCCCTCAAGATTACAGGTACACCTTGGTGACGACTGCCAAGTAGCACGAAACCCGGGTCCAGGGGTTCCTGCTGAATACCTCCAACCACCATCTAATCTCAATACATAGTGCCCGCAGTGTCAGGTCACCTAGACTGGTGGCCACATTGCAGCATGGTCGGTAGCATTCGATCTGCACTAAATAAGTACTTGACACACATGACATTGATCATCACCCAGTGACCAATCAGTTGTGACTAAGAATTATTTTTAAGCTTACGACCTCTTGTTCAACACTTAAATATACGAAGTAAATAAGCAAAATTAGAAATTTCTAAAAAAATAATCGACATTATGGGGAATCGCACTCTTCAAACACTATCGATAACGAGGAAAAATATTATTCTAATGTTATACATTTAGCCATTCATTTCAAGTTGCAGTATAATATTTATGCTACTGAAATAACAAATAAAGTAGTAAAAATTGATATATGAGTTTTTTTAACTTGATCAATATAACAAAATGCTTCATTTCTTTTTAATTTTTACTAACTATTGATAATACCCTACAAAATATTTTTATTTTAAATAGAATCCAACTAGTTAGTTTTTGAGCAATTCTGTTTCTAAATTCATCTAGTTTTTTAAGAGTTGCAAGTATTAACCTTAATTATAGGGAAATAAACAATCACATATGAAGTTTTTAAGCTAAATATAACGTTCAAATGAGTTCATATGTCCTTTATTTATGGCGAATAATGTTATATACTCATCATGTTATGAATTTATATAATCACGTATTTAAATGAAGTGGATACATTAATCTTTCATTAGTACCCGAGAATTGTCCAGATCGGAAATGACATTTTACTACTATTACTATTACATTTATTAGGTAGCTTAATTGACTATATCCAAATTAAAAAAACCATGAAAATATTCGGCTAGATATACATTAACAGAAGCCGCTTTTGAAATGTAACACTATACTAGTACAACAGTATCACAAATACAATTATTTAATTAAACTGTTCTCTATTTTATCTGTTACCACGGGTGAATATAAAAATTCCACACTAACAATTTTAATTAAGATTTATTACCAAAACTTAATTAATCGACAATAGTATATCACAATACATTGAAGAATATTCTCTTTCCATAATTATAAATAGCACGTATGTGATTGAGAATTTTATTGAAAATCAATAGATTTTAGTCCTCAAGGTCAAATGATAGTAAACTAACTTCTGATTCGTTATTAGTACATATAATTTTGTGTACATATATCTTAGATATAAATCAACATTTATTTGAGTGATTCAAATAACAATTAAGTTTCTTTGTTCTTAAATAGAACAACAAAACGTGAGAGAAAAAAAATATTCATAAATGATATTCAGTTTGGTATTTCACATACACTTTCCAAATATAAATCAAAAATCAGTTATAGTTTCATATTTACATTTTAATTTCATTACAGTTTCTATCATTTACTTAACACTGTTTACTTGTGTTCAGTTTTATAGTCTTTGTTACTGTAAAATGTTTTCATGTACATTTAGATTTACTCTTGTAATATATATATATATATATCCTTTACAACACTACGAAATGTAAAGAAAAAGAATATGCTGAACAAGCACAATTAGGACTGATATATATATTTGATAACATATAATGTAATGAAACTTGAAATGGTTCATTTTTAAATATACCAGAAAATTCGCACAAGGTATACTTTCACACAATTGATTAAGTCCAAATCAAAGGGTTACTATAGTAAATAGAATTTTTACTGACATTTATTACTTTACATATTATACTACTGTGAGTAATATGCCGTAATTTCTATTGTTATAAATGAGTAATAGAAAATAAATGTATGATTTGTCATTC